CACAGCCTTTTTTGTGATCTATTATCGTATACAAGCTTGTTACATCGCAGGTGATTAGATAAAAATCTTCTTCCCATTTAAAATCTTGTAGTATATTTAAAAGACTCATAGAGTCCTGTAAATAAGATGTGCCTGTCTTGACTAGTGGTTGGAGATGTGCATCAATATATTGTGAAAGTGTGGATAAAATGGAATCGATTCCCGATACTATGGGTCTAACAGGAATCTTTTTTTTTTCCTCTTTATTTATATATGTAAAAACAGGAAGCATTTTTTCTCTCTCTTTATATATGTAAAAACAGGAAGCATTTATTTTTCCCCCCCTCTATTTATGTATGTCAAAACAGGAAGCACCACTGTGCCGGAACCAACCTCGCCACTATGCACTGGAGAAGCCTGGTTGCCAGCCTCCTGCCATGTGACTATGGCCCCTGGGATGTTTGACTGCTAGGAGAGTAAACCTATTCGTATGGTTCCTATTCAACTGTCTACAGCATTCAAATGCTTGAGAGCATTCACATGCTTCTCCGGTTCGGTGGTTTTGGTGTCTGCTGCAGTGCTTGGAGTCCTCAGGAAGTGCTAGGAGCATCCGTCAACGGAGGTACCCAGTCGGGGTGCCAGGTGATCCGTTACAACCACCATCTTAGTGGTGGTGAGATGCTTCCTGCAATGACCAAATATGGACATTCAATTACCATTTCCTGCAGCTACACCTGTCTCCAATATGGTAAATTGGAGGCATATATAGGTGGGTCAGCAAATGGGAGGATATACTGCACTTGAAAAAGACCCTGGAGGGTTGAAACGCGTTGTGCTAGCGGCTGTGTCAGCCATTTCTGCTTTTATTATTTTATACCAAATAAATGTTTATTTTAACACTTCACCTTACCTGGTTCCTGAGTTCCTGCTAAGAAAAATTTATTATGAACATCTAAGAGGAGGATCAGATCCAGTGTATCCCTTGGTGGATGAAATACCTTTACAGTCCAGAGCCTAACTTATGTGGCTCTGGAAAGTGTGAGTAAACCTTTTTTATTCTCCAATAGGTTTCAACAGTATACACTATGTTGTTTTCTTGTATATATTATATATAGGGTCCACAGTTACTGTCTGTTGCTGAAATAGGACCTATACAAGATTTTAAAGGTAAAATATTCCACTGTTTGAGTGCTTTTTAACCTTTTTTTTTCTGTTCAATATATCTTTCATTTGGTGTAATAAGTGACTGTACACCAAGGTGTTTTTAAGCTGCACCAGTTGTAGTATTTTGTGTATAGCACCATTTTCCCTTCTATTGTGTATTTCTTGTATTACGTTTTTTGGACCCCAGACCCGAACATATCACTGTATGTTCGGGTTGGAGTTCGGTGTTCAGCGATTTAATGGCGTGTTTTTAAAGGCTACAGGGCAATCAAAAGCATTTGACTTGTGTGCCCTTAGAAGCCACCACAGCCATGCCTTCTAATGGCATGGCTGTGATTGACCACTGCAGCATGTGAGCCAGCCTCTATATATAAGCTGGAGTCGCGTAGCGCTGCACGCACATGAGCTCTTATTAGTGTAGGCAGAGGCTGCTGCCGCTTTGAGGGACAGCTTAGGAAAGAATTCTGCAAACTAGTACATTAGTGGGGTGCACTTCATATCTGAGAGTCAAATAGAAGTGTCAAATACTGCTGTCACATTGCAATTTTAAAACTTAAACTTTTTTGGGTGCTAAAAAGTACATTAGTGGGGTGCACTTTTTTATCTGGGAGTCAAATAGAAGCGTCAAATAGTGCGCTTACAGCGCAATTGTAAACATTCTTATTTTCTGGGTGCTAATCTGCTAAATAGTACATTTTTGGTCCTGCTCTTCATATCTGAGAGTCAAATAGAAGCGTCTAGTAGTGCGCTTACAGTGCAGTTGTAAAAATGCAATTTTTTGGGGTGTTAAATAGTACATTTGGGGTGTGCACTTAATATCTGGTGTATGTGTGCAACACCGACTAGTTACCGCTTCTCAAGAAAGTCTAAAGACAAATAAATGTTGCCTATGGTGAAGGTAGTATAGAAGGCAAGACTGAGACAAATCATTCGGGTTACATTTGCCTGTTGACATGTTAATTATCTTTGACCATTAAAATTCAATAATCAATGAAAAAAAAACACACAAGTGTCATACAAAAATATGTATTACAGACAGGTTAAAAAGAAGGCTACAAGTCATGCTATAACAAAATTAAACAAGTTTTAAAATGTGTATGGGCCAACCAGTGGCTGTAAAAACAAAGTTTTACTGGTTACATTCATGACTACACATTCTAGTGAACAGGATTTTAATGCAGTGTGTTCTTTTTTAAAATCATACAGCATCCTTTCATGTGCTTTTCAGATGCCACCCAAACATCCCCTCCTCTTAGTATGACTCATAATCCCATTATGCAGGACACAGTTCCCCTGGTTTTCTGGATGTACCCCGAAACATAGGGGTACCCCTTTGTGACGAAATGCCTTTTGACCCTGGATTGTTAGGTGACAAGCTGCCCTTTGCCCCCGGCTTTTGGAGGAGCCTGAGTGCCAGCCTCCTTCCTCATGACTATGGCCCTGGGGTGTATTGCCATTTAAAAAGACTATTTGGGGCTTATTGGCTTCTAAAGACAGTTTCTTCCCATTTGAATCCATGGGAAGGTGTGTTTCTTCCCCTCCCCCGTTTCCTGTCTATTGTTCTCCAGCAGGGCGTTGTCCCAGGCACACTGCCAAACCAGTTGGAACTGACTGCTTTTGTCCCTCCTTGGTTTCTCAACAGCCCTTGCTATGCTTTACCCCGTGGAAAATCTACTCTGTTCATGGGATCTGAGCGCTGTTCACCTAGATTGGGCGCTCAGATCCGAGCTATCTGGGGATAGGTTAAATGTGGGGGTTCTGTGTAATAAAATAAGAATTATGTATTTTTATGTACTTTTACGTATTTTTGCTGTTAGTGTAAAATCTAGATATTTTCTGTACCTGGAGATAATTGAGTTTACTGCAGTGCCTTAAGCCAATTATCTCCAGGATGGAGAGGAGGGATTTCATTGTTTATGTGAGAGTGTTATTATGTTAATTAGTGTTCCCATTGGTTTGTGTCCCTTTTGTCACAGTTTACCACCAGGTCCAGGGGTGTGCCTCTGACCTGAAAACTTGTATATAAGGAGTAATAAACGCTCATTGGAGTCAGATCATCTTGTACCTTCATGAAGTTTCGGCTCATGTTTAGGGGATTGGAGAAACTACACTCTGGGGATTGCTATAATCACTATACTCCCCAGGGTATGATCACTAAGCTCTGCTAAGAGCTTGTTCCTGTTCCTGCTCTCTGGAATTCGGAGAGAGGTCGACCTGATGGAAGCTGGACCCTGGTCATGGGTCCAGAGTGGGTGGAGACGGCAATACGACCAGGTCCAGGGGGTGTGCCTCTGACCTGAAAACTTGTATATAAGGAGTAATAAATGCTCATTGGAGTCAGATCATCTTGTACCTTCATGAAGTTTCGGCTCATTATTGGGGGATTGGAGAAACTACACTCTGGGGATTGCTATAATCACTATACTCCCCAGGGTATGATCACTAAGCTCTGCTAAGAGCTTGTTCCTGTTCCTGCTCTCTGGAATTCGGAGAGAGGTCGACCTGCTGGGAGCTGGACCCTGGTCCTGGGTCCAGAGTGGGTGGAGACGGCGAGACCCCAACCAAGCTGCGGCGGTTCGTGGGGTCTGCAGTGGTTATGGTGTCAGGCAGAGTGCTTGGAGTCCTCGGAAAGCACTAGGAGCATCCGTCGGCGGAAGGTACCCGGTCGGGGTGCCAGCGGTTCCGTTACACCCTTTAAATATTACATCCCCTGGTAGCCCTGATCTGGGTGAGAAACATATTCAAAAATCCCCCAGATCGGACCAGGGGTTTGGGAAATTCCTGGAGGTAGTAAAAAGAAACACTGCTGTTCGGGAGTTTAAGATGGCCGCCGCCACGTGTTCGTCTATCGAATGGCGGTCACCAAGAGGACAAAGCACACACTGCACTGATTGCCAATTACCCGTTTGCAACATTGTAATGGTAATTGGAGGCACACTTATTCCTGGGGTGGTCTGATTGTTCAGTAGTTTCACTCGTTAATAATCGGAGTGATTTTACCGAACAATCAGACGAATGCTGAATACACTTTACATACATATGGCAAAAATTAACCGAAAACATACAAATACACATAATTCTGAGGACAGTCCAAGGCCATCCGCTACACAAGGTCATGTGAGTGACGTGTGCAGTTTGGAGGAACAAGCGCTGGTCGCACAGAGGCACCAGCACAGCATAAGAGGGAGCAGGCCGCAAATGTTTCTTTTTTTTATATGTCCCAATATTTTGGGGGCTACCCCAATTAAAATTAAAATAAATATATATATATATATATATATATATATATATATAAACAAAACCAAGAGGGCTGCACTCACCTGAACATGCATACATTATAGGGTGCTGCTGGGGCCAAAATATACAGAGTACAGAATCCAGCGCACTCGCTTATTCACTAAACAATGATTTAAAATCTTAGAGATTGCAATAATTTTATTCAAAAACACCTCACCTAGGCAAAAAATAATGGGGGTTTAGTTACATTATATGATCATACATTGCATAAGCCTGCCAACTAAGTCAAAGTACCCCATATTCGGCAGGTCCTTTCCTAGCAGCCTAATGCTTGCTCTTATGAGGTTAAGTGTATAGTTCTTTGCGTTGAACCTTGGTGGCTGAGAATACATGGCAGCTGAAGGTGGGGCGTTGGACCGGTACGACAGTGGTTGTGGTGGGGCAACTGTAGTGGATGCCCCCGGTCGGTAATCCATACGGGTTGCTGCTTTAGCCATCTGGTTGTCTAGCTTGCGGCTATCAGTATATTCATCAGCCAAGCAGACCCACTCCCTGACCCCTGTGGTCAGTGTAACGGACCGTTTTGCCCAAAAGAGGTTAAAAACCATTTAGGCGATATTCCCCTTTTTCAGCTGCACCGACAGCTACTGCAAGCACCAATCTCCTGAACTGCAAACCCACGAATTCACCAACTCCCGAACTGCATACCAAGGGAATACTCGAAACTCCCGAACTGGAGACACACGAATAGCTGCTAGCAGACGAACAGGAAAAGCCCCCAAGTGGCTTACACTCCTGGCAATCAGTCTCTAACAGCATACAGTAAATCCTCCCCCAATAATGAGACGACACTTCACTTTGAGGGTTAAGCAGGAACTGATTTACTGGGGCTAACTGCCCGGCTTTTATGCAGGTCTCCCACCTGGTGGACACTCCCCTAGGGGAACAAATGGGAGACTTACACATTTCAACCATCCCACAATGCATCACAATCCCTCCTCTCTGCTCTGGAGATAATTGAGAAGTAATTCAATTATCTCCAAAGACAGAGGCAAAACTCCATTAACCACATGGCAGAAAACAAACAGTAAAAGACATAAAATTACCTACAGTTACCTTCAGTACATAAAACATATACGTTCTACATATCCCCAGATAGCTCAGGTCTGAGCGCACATTATTAAGCGAATGACGCTCAGACCACACGAATACAGCCAAAGTCTTTACACAGTCAGTTTCATGCGAATGGGCTCCAGGGGATTCCTATCTGGGACACAACACACTCAAACAAATCTACCGAACACCCGGCAGAAAAGCATGAATAAGTCTTTTCTGCAGGGAAAAAAGATGCCTTTTAACATGGGGCCATAGTCCAAAGGCAGCAGGCGAGCAACCAGGCTTCTCTAGTGTACAGTGGCGAGGTTGGTTTCGCCACAGTCAGTCTCTCATAGAAGTGTTCCAGCAAGAACAATTTGTGTTCCATTTGTGTTCGGTATTTCCGCTGCTGCAGCACCTCTTTGTTGAAGCAGCCGGTTCGCTTCCACGGCTGCTATAACACGCTCAAGGATGTCTGGTGTAGGGTTGGGGCCAAAATGTGCCAGCCTGATGTTGACCGATTGATCAAAACTTGCCTAGTCAGGTGTTCGGTCAGTGATGCTGGGTCTTTCGGTTCTATCCATCTCCAGCAGCTCTGTAATAATGTCCCTCTTTTTCCTGTTGCTGGCCGGTCGACCACGGTTCTCCAGGAAATCTTTTAGGGTAGAGTGCTTTAATTGCTCATAATACGTTTCCATCAGCTTGTATCTTTGTAGCTGTCCTTCTGGGCTGTAGGAGTCATCCCGACGCTTGCCACCAGTTGTTACGGTAACCCAGAGATAAAAGGGGTTAAAGCTGTATAATATGCTCCTTTCCTGAATACGAATGCAACTACCGATCACTCCAATCTGCCGAACAGGAATAATACGAATCATACACTCTCCAAACAGCCTAACGAGAATCACCATACAAATAAATTCCCCCAAGTACGAGACAAAGCTCTATATTGAGGGTCAGCAGTAATCTGGTATAATATGGGCTACCTGCCCGGTATTTATACAGGTTTTCCTCCAGGTGGACACTCCCCTAGGGGACCTGGTGGAAAATTGGGCGTGGAAAATTGGGCACATATTGTACATTAGCCAACCACAGGGTGGAAGACATAAACACTCTTCTTTTACAGTATAGGACCCTCCTCTCAGTCCTGGAGATAATTGGTAAGTAACTCAATTATCTCCGAGGACAGATGCCAAACTACATTTTATACAGAATAGTGAAAACACATAAAAATACATAATACAAGAACTACCGAACACAATAGATACATTCCACACATCCCCAGATAGCTTGGATCTGAGCGCACATTATTACCGAATGGCACTCAGATCCTGTACACCCAGTTCAATTGTCATGGAGACATAGTCTTTCGTTATACGAATGGGCTCCATGGCACAGCTATCTGGGATAAATCGGTTCATGAAAATAAACTACCGAACGGACCGGCATTTGTATGCTGTAAAAATAGAAGAAGGGAGGTCGGCGGCTTTCAGCGGTGTTTGTGAGAAACAGTGTACGTTTTTAGTTCCATGAAATCATCGACGAACACCGCTGAGCATTCGTATATCCAAGATGGCCACCGCCTCGTGGTCGGCATACGAACAACGACCACCCAGTCGGCATTCGACAATTAGGAAGTGTCTGCGGTTAACCACAACATTCTAAAGAGGCCAAGAGGTTAACCAGCAGCACACTTCTATGCAGGGTGGCCGGCCGTTCTGTGAATTGTTCGGTAAAACAGAAACAAGCGTGGAGATCGTACAGACAAGGAAATAGCCAAACAAACAGATGAATGAGGGAGCAATAAAAGTATTTCACAGGCAGTTGGTTCTGTCACACTATCTTAATTGGTGAAATACATTGAACTACCTACTACAACTACAACCATTATCAAGGACTTTCTTATTGGTTTTACGAGGACATTCTTTGTAATTATAGATTCCAGTTACTACTACTTGCATACAACAAGTGTATGTCTGGACGGCAAACTGAGTGCTGTAAGTGGGCTGAACTGCAGTTTACAGTGAGATATGAGGAGCAGCAGCATCCAACCATTTCTAACAATGCTCAGGATTCATGGCTGCCAGGATTCAACATAGCGTCATAACCAGCACAGTGGTGTATCCTGGTTTTGTGCTGCCCTAGGCAGGACAAAACTTAGGCACCACCCTCCCCTCGCGCCACCCCCACCAAACCCTTCCCCCTGCCCCACCTTCTAAATACACACACACACACAGTCAGACACAAACACACACACACAGTCAGACACACAAACACACAGTCAGACACAAACACACACACAGTCAGACACACACACAGTCAGACACAAACACACACACAGTCAGACACAAACACACACACAGTCAGACACAAACACACAGACACAAACACACACACACAGTCAGACACACACACACACACACAAACACACACACATAGTCAGACATACACACACACACACACACACACAATCAGACACACACACACACACAATCACTCACATTAACACTTTTTTTTTATTTAACCACCCCCAGCCTCCTTACCTTTGGGAATGCTGGGAATGGGGGGGGTTCCTCTTTCTCCCTGGTGGTCCAGTGGCTGCCGGTCGGGCTTATGGGCTGGCTGCTGGGCGGGCGGCTGGCGAGGGAGCTCTTCCTCTGACTGCTCAGCTCCCTCGCGTGCCGCAGAGTGAGGCTGGGAGCCGGGTCGATGACATCATATTCCAGCCCCCAGCCTCACTCTGCGGCATGCGAGGGAGCTGAGCAGACCGCTCAGAGGAAGAGCTCCCTCGCCAGCCGCCTGCCCGACCATCAGCCAGCGCTGCTCACTGAAAAATGCCGCCCAAGACAAATGCCTTGTTTGCATCGCTGCTAATACGTCCCTGAACCAGCAGCCAACAAGCTGAAAGGGCAGAGTGAGCGTGGGACAGGCTGCTCCTGGTAATTTGTGTTGTGTGTGAATGCCAGAGAAAATCAAGTTTGTCTGTGTATGGGTTAGTGAGTAGTGTGTTTGTGTATGGATCAGTGTGTGTGTCAATGCCCAGTGTATTTGTGTATGGTTCAGTGTGTGTATATGGGTCAGTGTTAGTGAGTAGTGATGTCCTGAACTGTTCGCCGGTGAATAGTTCCTGGCGAACATCGTTTGTTCGCGTTCGCCATGGATGGCGAACATATGCACTGTTCGGTCCGCCCCCTATTCGTCATCATTGAGTAAACTTTGACCCTGTATCTCACAGTCAGCAGACACATTCCAGCCAATCAGCAGCAGACCCTCCCTCCCAGACCATCCCACCTCCTGGACAGCATCCATTTTACATTCATTGTGAAGCTGCATTCTTAGTGAGAGGAGGGACAGTGTAGCTGCTGCTGATTTGATAGGGAAATTGATAGCTAGGCTAGTGTATTCAGTGTCCACTACAGTCCTGAATGACTCATCTGATCTCTGCTGTAAGGACAGCACCCCAAAAAGCCCTTTTTAGGGCTAGAACATCAGTCTGCTTTTTTTTTCTGTGTGATGTAATTGCAGTTGCCTGCCTGCCAGCCTTTACAATAGCTTGCATTTCAAAAAAACTAAACTTTTTGGACTGTAATATAATAGCAGTCAGTCAGTTTCCTTCACGAGTGTGCGTTTCAGGGCCTGCCAGGGCACAGTGTCACACTAGTGCAACTCATATCTGGTGTAACAGTAATGTACATTTAAAAAAAAAAAAAATACAATTTTGACTGTAATAGATTGAATAGCAGTTAGTTGTCTGCAAGCATGTGTGTCAGGCCTACAGCGTCTACTCTGCCAACTTCTGCCACTGCACAGTGCCACTCATATCTGTTGTCACAGTAGCTTGCACGCATAGTACCACTAATCGGAAAAAAAAATGACAGGCAGAGGCAGGCCACCCCGCAGGGGCCGTCGTGGTCGTGATGCTGCGATTCTCTTTGGCCCTATAATAATGCCCAGTGTTCAGAGGCCACATACCCTGAACTCGAAAAGTTCTGAGGACATAGTTGACTTGCTAACACATGACACCCAATCTTCTACAGCTTCCTCTCGGAACCTTGATGCTCAATCCTCCTCCAGCTTAGCTTCGGGCACCTCTCAAGTTTCCACTCGCCCGCCTGCCGCCACCACCAACACTAGCACCACAGCAGCTTCACTTGGTATGTCAGAGGAGTTATTTACACATCAGTTGGAAGAAATGAGTGATGCACAACCATTATTGCCAGAGGATGTAGATAACAGGGATATGTCTCAGTCAGGCAGCATTACACACATGGACGTACGGTGTGATGATGATGATGTTGTACCCGCTGCTGCTTCCTTTGCTGAGTTGTCAGATACAAGTGAAGTGGTTGATGATGACGATGCGTCCGTGGATGTCACGTGGGTGCCCGCTAGAAGAAAAGAAGAACAGGGGGAAAGTTCAGACGGGGAGACAGAGAGGAGGAGGAGACGAGTTGGAAGCAGGGGGAGGTCGTCGCAAGGAGCTAGTGGCACAGTCAGACAGCATGCATCGGCACACGGGGTCAGCCAGACAGCACGCCAATCAATGCATGATGTTGCCACCACCAGAATGCTGTCATTGCAGAGCTCAGCAGTGTGGCATTTGTTTTGTGTGTCTGCCTCTGACAACAGCGATGCCATTTGCAACCTGTGCCAAAAGAAAGTGAGTCGTGGGAAGTCCAACACCCACTTAGGTACAACTGCTTTGCGAAGGCACATGATCGCACATCACAAACGCCTATGGGATCAACACATA